TCTCTGGAAAACGCCCAGATCTGTCTGGAAATGGCGGTCAAGATGGAGGCACCCATCAACCACTGACAAAAGGCGATCAAAGCCATAAAGGCCATTGCCCATTTCTTGCCCAACGCGTTGAAGATAACCTGGGCCATGGGCTGTCCAAAATCGGTATCGATAACAGAGCTGATATCAGTGGTAATACAGGCCCCGACAACGATGCAAATAACCAAGCCAAGGACAAAACACGCGGAAATGGAGCCAATAATCCCAATAGGAACGGCCCTGGTGGCATTTTTGGCTTCTTCCGACATGTGCACGCAGGAGTCGAACGCCCCGATGGTCCAGATCGCCGGCATCCAGCACAAGGCAAACTGCCACCCGGGCGTCCACCCACTAAACGTCTCCATGCTTCCAAAAATATACTTTGCGTCGTTAAAAGATTCGGTCGAAGACCTAGCGGTTCCGATAGGAAGAGCAATGATGAAAAAGAAAACCAACGCAAGATTACAGACCACCGAAAACGTTTGAAGACGGGATACCTTTGAGGAAGCCGAGCAGGTGATAAAGATATGGCTCACCACGCACGCAGCAAACACCGCGTAGGTCTTGGCAGGCGTGATGACAAAGTCACCATCTCGAGAAATAACCACGATTGAGAGGATTTCTGACGCAAACCCGTAGTCGACAGAGCACAATGCACCCACCAAGGCAAGGGAGTTGGTATTGCCAACGAGGTACGATAACGCCTTGCGCCATTTATCATCGGCATAGTAATTGGTCCAGTAGTAAAGCCCCCCGGAAGTAGGCATCGCCGAGCCCAATTCGGCCATTGCAATACCAATGAGGAGAATAAAGCTAGACGCTACAAACCAGCCCCAGATCATACCCACAGTGCCACCTGTGAGTGCAATTCCAAGCACAGAGGAGATAGAGGGAAGGAGCCCCATGATGGAGAAGGCAACCCCAAACACTTGCAAGGTACTAAAGTGCCGTTTGAGTTCGGGCTTGTAGCCAATCTCGGCGAGGAGGTCGTTATCGGTAGTGGCTAAACGGGCATCGATAACACGGGAAGCATTGGACCGATTAGTGGTTGATGCGTGAATGTAATGGTTGTAAGAGGTTGCCGACTTTTGAGGAATCATTGCGGTTTAAAGGAGTATCACGAAATTGCTCGGGGTTTCAGAGAACTCTAAAGCTTTTGGATGGGGATGTGCGTATCTTCTAGGAATGGGGTATGGCACTTTTAAAACGTGTAATATACACCTCTTGCCTTAGAGGAACCAGGTGGTATTTATAATTACGTTTTATTTTTCAGTTTCAAGGTAGCCAATATTTAAGGTTATTCCGTGCGTAGACCTCGTAAGGGATTCGGTATTGGCTATCTCACTAAACGGTATCTTTCAGATTCTATGCGGCGGCCCCAAAATCGCTCGTCACCGTTGTAAAGCGCAAAGATAACAGCCATTGCTATAGCCCAGATTTCTAATATTGAGTTTTATTTACAGTTTGTATTTACCAAGGCCTGCCAATTTACGACAGCTATAATAGCCTTTGTCTCCTTGCTTATACCCAGACGATTTTCCTCTGCCAATGTGGTGGTGTCTATCAATACTTTAGACCTCTGTCTTCTTTCTATATCTGTACGGCTGACACCCAAAAACATTACCCAAACAGCTCTTGGCTATGATCATGGCTTCCAACCTAGTTGGAGGAAATTCAAACGTAGACTAAACCTAGTATGAGACCCTTCTATATGGATGAGGGAAAGCGCTTGCTTTTTCTTCCTCCATCCTTCAAACTTAACAGGGGGCACTCGTATACCTTATCCGGAATTAGCCGCCGCACCTCCGAGATAAGGTGCGGCCGAAGATAAGACAAGGCTAGAACCTTTCTCGTAATAAGTTTGGAAGCGGCCACCATAAAAAGTACAGGATTTTACTTGGGATGGGTTTAGATTTCAAGGCCTATGCTAGAGAATAATTTTAAACTTATATCCGTTTCCCGATCTCCGCAGTCGCTTCCGGCATCTGCATACAGTTTGCGGGAATTATAGATACAGAACTGTTCTAAAGACGATTTAAAATTTGATAGACACAATGGGTCCAGGGGTTCCCATCCTGCCTGTGTAAAATGCTTGAATTAAAATAATTCAAAGCAAGGCGCGATTTGAAATTGGTATTCTATTCCCGAGTCCTTAAAAGATCTCAAAGCCGCATAATCTGTTTCAATTTAGAATAACGTACACCGACGAGCACATTATAAAGCCGTATGGTTAGGACGCAGGTGGGTTCACACAGTAGAGGTTCGGTGAAAAAATATGAGGCTCTCCATCAAGGATGAAGGTAAAAAAAAACTGCGCCAGCCCGGAATCGAACCGGGGGCCCAACGATGGCAACGTTGGATTTTACCACTAAACCACTGGCGCTCGAATGTTGAAGTTGGAGAAACTATATCTGAGGTAAAAAGGACTGCGCGTGCCCATCAAGATTGAACCACCGATGGCGATTCAACCCCAGAGGGCTACATAAGAAAGTTGTTTCTGTTGATAGGATTTGCACTTAGTTTAGGAAGGACCTGGACAGAATGACAAATGACTCCCGGATTAAAGTCCCAACAGGCACTGGAATCCTGACATGGAGGCAATACCTAGTATTTTCCACTCAAAATGCCAAGATCTATCACAACACATGGCTCATCAATCTTCTTATACTTCTTAAAAAACTGCAGTCGCTATATTACAGGATCCACAGGCTATGTATATTCAATGGTATTCAGGGTATAAAACTACTTGTATGGGTGTAACCGCCGGGCTATACTTTTGTAAACCATTTTAGTATTCCTCCTCGCTCTCATATTTGATCAAAATGTTGTCGATATTGTCAAACAAGTTGTTTGGAACGGAACCGATTCGCAACATGATATCGTCGTCCTGCCAACCCATATCGTAGTAGTGGTCAATCTTGGACTTGATCTCAATGAGCTTCTGCAAGTACTCGTTGGCGGCAAACTCCGGTCTCATACGCTTGATAACAATCTCATCCTCGTCGTCCTCCACTTGGTCTGTAGGCTCAGCTGTCGTTTCCGTTTCCACGTCAAAGATTTTGGGGAACTTGGAGTTGAAGAGCAAGTGCACACCGATGTCAAACACATTCAAAACGATAGAGATCTGCAACAACAAGTTGGCAAAGCGTTTACCGTGGGTGCGATTCAAGTCGTTGAGATTGGTAGGAGTGCCCTTGTACAAGCCCTTGCTGGTAGAACGGAGGTGGTACTTGAGAGGATCCATTTCAACGTCGTTGCAGAGTTCAAACAACCAGTCCAAGTCTGTGGCAAAGACATGGCCATCGGTGGTGGGTGGAAGCGGGATCACCTTGGAAAAGTCAAACTCATAGATGATTAACGCAGCCTTTTTAATCAAGGAAAGCTTGGACGTCCCTGCAGGGTAGCGCTCGTAGACGTTGTCCTTGAGTTCCGGTAACGGGTCGGGAAAGCTTGCAAAGGCCTGGATCTTTTCGGTGGAAAGGTTCAAGTTCGGCACCTCGAGCTTGTACAAAAGGCCCTTGATACAGCCCCAGTGGAAGAAGGACTTGAGGGCCGTGTGGACATCGCCGGAAAGCGTGGCTTCTTCCCCGTAGTACTCCGTGATAAAGTACTTGAGGAAGTGTCCCTGGAGCTTGGGCTTTCCGATGTGGTGGTCGGTGTGCAAAAAGTTCAACTTTGAACAGAGCATGAGATTGAGCCCACGTGAAATATGCTCCGGGGTCACGTCGTCATACATCTGACGAGCAGCAGCCACCACAGCTTCGTCCACTGGCTCAGCCTTGTGTTTAGTGACAACGGAAGTGCCCATATCGTACCATTGGTGGAGTTCGATCTCGCGGGCCACACCGATGATCGAGAGGCACAAGTCGGGGTAGTCTTCGAGAATGGTGCCACAGGTAGCGAGAATGGAGTAAGCAGAGGTGATGGAGAGATTTTCCGTGAGTTCGGATCTGAAGAAAGAGGGATTGGCAACAACCAAGTACTTGTCCTCCTCGCGGATGCGCTTGAAGGTGTTCTCCACCAAGCGGTACTTGCGGCCCTTGCGCTTATACTCCAACGACTTGAGATCTTCGGAATCGTCGAGAATCTGGTTGGCAATGCTAATTAAGTCGGCCATTCTAAGACACAAACACTTATGGGTCAAGGTTGTTCTTGGTGAAGAGTAGCTGAGTGAGTGGGTGGTTGGATAGACAATGGCCACAGATCAATCCACCTTGCTGGAAACTAAACAAAGCACGTGATGAGTACCAGCCAGAGCGAACGCAACGAGGTGTATGTCGAAATAGGCGAGATCCATCATTAGCTGATTTAGCCCCAGAAGACTTCAAACTATAATTTAAATTTCATAGACCGATTAGCGTTAAAAATTCCACTCCTATGTTCCCGTTAAACAGGTTCGCAGAGATATGTGCATGCAAAAATTAAAGATTAGCGCTGCTCGGTTTCGATCCGAGGACATCAGGGTTATGAGCCCTGCGCGCTTCCACTGCGCCACAGCGCTGCTGTGATTGCAAATTGTTGATTTCAGATCTACCAGACGGAGGCGGATCTTTTTCTCCGTCCATTTTTATTCTCTTTCCGAAATTTTCACTACTCACGCAGATAAGTACAATTTATAGTATACTGACAGTCTTTCAAGAATTTTGAGTTAACAGTTTGGTTATGACTAACCCAGAACTGCTGGTACCAAGAGGTGAGTAAACGCGGCATTCTTCAACTCTTGGCTCTTGTGGTCAAGATATCTGCATGCCAAGACGTATTGCTTTCCTTAAACCACGTACTACGTTTGATGCCCGTACAACGGAGAATACAGCAACGCTTTATCTAATCAAAAAGTTCTTCATTCTCTATCTGATTTCTTTTCGATGGGGACCACTATGCTAAAAGAGACTCGCGTGGCGTTTTCTATTTAATAATGAGAGAAACGGACCGCCTGAGGAGAGGCAATTGTTTGGGTACCATAGATAAAATATAGTTTTTACGCAGATCATGAGTGGAAGAACCTACGAGGCGCAGCTAAAGACTTCCAAGCTTCTCAATAGTCGTTGTGCCATATATAATTGTGGTATTTGCCAAATCTCAACAAGGGATATAGCGTAGGATCAGGTAATGGTAGACCTCAACCCGTTTATTCAAACAAGCCTCCTGCCTCCTTCCACCTAAACATAAATCAAATCACTTCCTTAGAGTTCAATGGGTTTCACCTTACCTCATATGTTTCTTACCAACAAGGCCAAAACGTTGGTGATAGCCATCTTTGGGACTGCCCTCCTAGCGCTGCACTACTTGATGTCCCTCCGATTTCTTACCCAGGTGGTACTGGTGGCCACCTATGATATTGATACGATTTTTAACGACCGGTTTAGCGTCAACGTTCTCACCAACAACTGCAGTCGAAATACGAACCGTATCGTAGCGTTTTTCCCAGAATTGGCGGTTTGGAATGATACCGTGTGCACCTTGATGCCCGACTCGGCGTCCTACGTTTCAGGGCCCCCGGTAATGGGCGATGTGGGGCTGTATACAAAGAAATATACGCGTGCAGTCAGACTGTGTGCCTATGGCGACAAGATGTTGTGCTTGTTTCTAGAAGACGATATCACCTGGTTGTTCGACGTAGACGAAACCAAGCGCAGACTCGTGCTCAACACCATACTGTATTATAGCAACGATGACGCAACTTGGGATTGCTCCAAGTATGGTATAGGGTGGTTTAAGACCGGAGCCACCGGTAACAAGTTACAGTGCAGAATCATCAGCAAGGAAACAGCGAGCTGCATGGCGGGGTACATGGACCGCAGCGGTATTCCCGCAGATATTGCCCTCCGTGATGCATCCAAGGCGTGTTCCGTCAGGCAGGGACGTTTTCTTTTGGTCCAGCATACAGGTGGCCGAAGCATCCTCAAGCATTAAGGCGTTAATCCTGGCAGCTACGCATTTTAAAATTAATCCCCTCTGATTGCCTTTCGAGATGGGGAAGGGTCTCTTCCAAAAGTGCTCTATTCACAGTTTATCTGGTGGGGGTTTTTTAGCCTAAATTACATTTTTGCTTCAACAACTACAAAGTTTTAGAGATATTGCTCAGTATACTCATTCTAAGTGTAACATATGCTTAGCCTGTATTTTTCCCTGGCTAGGCCGTACTTTTTTTCTAATCATGTAAGGACATGCAAATAGACTGACTTACTAAATATTATTTAGAATGTACGATTTTACTGGTCTATAACCTTTTCTCGTCCGGGTTTTCAACAATGGTGACTCGGTACCCCTTCACTCTATGGCGCTACAATTGGTTTCACAAGGTGATGTAGTGAATATATCACCTTTCAGGCCAAATACTTCTACAACTCACGCAGCCTTAGAACTAATTTAAAGCACAAACATGATGCAGATTCTATATCTTCTGGAAGTTTGGACGTACAATTTTAGGCCACACCAAATTGCAATTATGTATATACAACTGAAAAATAGAATGGAAACCTGAGGTATCAGAAACTACACACATTAACCAACTATGCATCTACAAAACAAGATATCAAACCATCACGGCAATCTCTAGCTGAGCAAATCCCTCATCCTCTCCCTGTTTCCTTCCCTACCCTCTTCCTGCGGCTGCGCCTTCGCCCGCTCCCCATCCTGCTGAACCCTCTGCATAAACGTTCGAGAGTTGTGTACAATGTTCCCCCCAGCAACAATCCTCACCCCCTTGTTCGTCCCCTGGAGGTTGTGTAAAACCCTTGCCTCTTCGTACGTGATTCCCCCCACCACATACACAATCACGTCCTGGACTCTGTCCGCCACCAGCTCCACAGAGTGCTTCCCCACGGGATAGTCACGCACGGCCAACTTTCCCCTGATTGCCTGGGTCACCACCGCCTCCACCCGCGGAACGTGCTGCATGTACAAGTTTTCGCTCTGCTTGGCCCCCAAGCCCATGAACGCGTTCGCCTTGGAAAACACAGACGCCTCACCGGTGGTTTCTAGCCGCTGGCTGGCCCCAGCATATGCTAGCACCGCACGGATCGTCCCCACAGTGATCCCCTCCACTCCCTGAGTCAACAATAGCGCCTCGAGTCGGCGCACCTGGTTCCCCGCGTGCTTCTCGTAGCGCAATGCGTAGAGTGCGACCAACCGGATCTTGGCCTCTACACTAAGCGGCTGCGTCACTTGCTGCGGCGTCTGAGGGTTCGGATGGTTAAGAACCAAGCGCTCCAACTCCTGGAGGTCCACGCTATGATTATCGTTGCATGCTAACGATTGCTCCAACTCGGAGACCTCCCAGATGCGAAGCGCGTTGATGCAGCGGTCAAGCTCCAGGGCCAATGTCATGTGCTTGGAGACGTTTCCGCTGAGCCGGCGGAACTCGGGAAACTCGTCGATAAAGTTCTTCATGTCCTGGAGCGTGTCGAGCTTCTTGGTGGTGTTGGTCTTGGCCTTGTACTGATCGACATACGCCTTGATCTTGTCGCCCAAGTCACCAAAGTTCAAGTGCATCGCCTCGCGGTAGAACGCATCTGTCTCGGGGTTGAGCACCACCTGTTCCATGTCCTTAGCGACGCCGGGAACGCGGCTGAGGTCCACGGTGTTGTTGCGGATGCCTATGAACTCGTGCACCATCGACTGGAACGTCCAAGGCACAAGGAGCGGCGTGATAGGATCGTTTTTGCGGTCGAGAATGAGCAAAAGGGGTGCCACGTCGCGGGTGGGGAAGTCGAACAACGCGGAAAGGTCCCCCTCGTGCACTGCGTAGCCGAGCTCCGATGCGAGCTTTGCGGCCATTTTCGAGTTGCGCTCGTACCGGATCGTTGGTTTGCACTTGAGCGAGAGAAGCAACGCGCTGAGGTTCTGCGTCGCAGCGTCCAACGCGGGTTTCTCCCAGGCGTCCGCGCGCGCGGTGCCACTGCCCGCCACAAAGAGTCCGCGGTCCAACACCAAATAGTCGGTAAATACCTCTGACACTCGGGTCACCACCTCCAAGTCGTCGCTTTCCGCAAGTTTTTCCAAGTCCGACTTGCGCACCGCGTTGGAGAAGTTGAGCTCGTACGATGCGTAGCGCGGGCTGCGGAGCTCGGCAAGGAGCGCCGTAATCGACGCAGGTTCCGGCTTGATGTACACAATGCAGCGGAGGTGTCGCATTGCTGCGCGTGAGGTGTTTGCGAGCTTGTCGATCAAGTAGATTTCGTGCTTGAGGAGGTCGCTCTGGGTGGCGCAGAGCGAGATGGACGGTGCCGTGTGGTCGTCGAGCAAGAGCACCTTGATGGACGTTCCGCGGTCAGAAGTGACGAGCTTATTCACGTAGAAGTTTGCAGTGGCTATCAAATCCATGATGATTGGTGGATGTGGGGTGTGCTGAAGAACGGGGAGCAACGGGGCAAGATAAAGCTCGGTGTTAACAGCCGGCATGGGAGAAGGTGCGGCGCTGTCACGTGATTACGTAAATCTGTCAGGGGCTGAGTGGTGGGTTCATTGGGGTTTACGTTTTGGATATCGTGGAAAAGTGAAGTAAACGGTTGTAGATAACCATGGTGGGATAGAACATAGATTGGCTTTAACTGAGTGGTGAGGGTGGGCAGATATTGCGTAGAACTTTCCGTCTATACCATAGTGTTATGTGAGGATCGGCACGAGATGAGGGGCGTGGTTAGTAAAACAAATTCCTCTGTAATAAAAATTAAATAATATGAGATAAATCTAGGGTGAGATATTGGAGGAATTTTGGGGGGGTTTTGAGAAATTAACCTTTTCTTGTTTGGATTCCTGAGCAATTAATGCTTATGAGGAGAATGGCAGGGGTAAAACCTATACCTTTAATTATATCTTCCAGGGTATATATCCATGCCCTAAAAAAAATGCTATTTACATGATTTATACAAGTCTCTTTTCGTAATGTCAGACAGTCAACTCCTTCTGGCACCTCTACTAGGTATTCACTACCCCACCAGCTCCACGTCATAATTCCAGTGACCTCCTGCATCTACGGATACGCCAGGCGACTATGACTGGCGTTTCGAACGCTAACAATCCGGCGGCTACCGAATATGAATTGAAGTTTGACACGCCAAGTGTTCCAAACCAGTTCTTGCTCACACACCACAACTGGCAATACATACATTGCCTATTGATACCCCACCTCAAGCTGATAGTCCAGCGTATTGCTTTATTGCCATATCCCTTCAACCTAGCCATCAGGTATCAACCATCTCCTATCCAACGGCTCTTGCGCTGCCTGTGACTTGCTCCCTGTCCAGACCCCAACTTCGCTAGGCAAATCACCAGTAATCTAGCTCTAGCTATTACACAGCTATAGACTATATCCTGAAAGGTAACTCCTTGTTTCCAGCGCTCGTTCGCCGATCCAGACCATTGGTTGCCATTCTCCAACCGCTTGTTGCGATTACAAGACACAGAGGCTGTGTGGTCCAAATTACCTAATCTCACTTAATTCCCCTTAAAACTCTCCATAATGTCCTCACAGTTCCCCGCCGCGCGTGGTAGATCTAAAACCCCAGAGTTTACCGGAAAGCGCGTTGCCAACGGAAAGAAATTCACCGCCGGGGCAAGCAAGTCGCTCCACACGCGCAACTCCTCGTATGGCCGCAACTTGAATAAGCTCACGAAAATAGACTCTGATGAGTCCATGTCGACCCTACTGCGCCCGAAAATGGACCGCTCCAAGTCCTCCGATGGCCTCCTCTCGCGGCCTGTGCGCTCATCGTCCAAGTCGTTGAACAAGCTCAGCCGACCAGTCTCGCAGAACTCCATCCGTTCGCTCAAGTCTGGGTCTCGCAACTCTAGCACGGTGTTGGAACTAGAGAACAACGACGGCGATTCGTCGGAGGAGGTGGATGGGCTAGAGCCGATCCAAGAGGGCCACCACGGGTTGAAGCACCCCCAGCCGAGCCATTCTAATGCTACCAGCACCGACTCGCTCCATAAGCTCTACGGCGGCAGCGTGCTTCTCTCACAGTCTACCGGGGTGGAACGAAAGTTGCCTGCAAATGCCAATAACAGCATTGTGCAAATGAGCAAGCCCAACTATGATAACCACGATGAGTACGCGGGGTATAGTTTACAACAGCCAAGACCCATGGAGTCTGCCTCAACGTCGCTTTCCTCCACCAACGGACCCCTTTCGTTTCAGGCGAAACGAACCGACTATCCGGTGATCCCGTCCATCTCCACTCTCTCCATGCACCAGCATCTCGAGCAAGCGCCAGCCCATCGTCCGCCCAGCAACGGCCTCACCATGATGAACACCGCCCAGCGCGCCCCGGAGTCTCCTGCCACCAACAACTTTGCCGCCTTTCTCAAGTCCGGCACCCCGGCCCCTGAGACCAGAACCCAGCAGCGGTTGTGGTTGCAGCGCGAGAACAGTTTTTTGGATGTTTCTCAGAGCGGCAGCATGAACACGCACATGAGCAAGATGTTTGGCAACAGTGTTCAGACCCGAACGGAGTCCGAGCGGTTGTCCCGAGAGTTCATGAACGTGAGGCGGTACACCAATCCGATGAACGAATCCTTGAATCGAATGGGTGTGATTACCAAGGCAATGGCTAAAAGCAGCAACAAGCAAATTGCAGAACAGCACGAAACATCTGTACTGGGGACAGCGTCGGTAGTGCGCAGTTCCAACACGTTTGCCGAGTATGCCCCTGAAGTTCTGCAGCAAGGTATGGAGACCCATGATAAGTTGTATCGCATGTGGCAGATTGCGTGCAACGACCTAATGACCCCTCCGGCCGAACAGCAACAGATGCAACAGACGCAACAGCAGTTACTAATGCAGCAACAGATCCAGCTCAATCAGAGATCGCCACAGCAAAAACAACAGCGACTGGGGAATGGAAATAGAGCGGATAATACATCACAGCATGCCATCAAGTCTCCTACCCCAACCAGGGCATCTATTGCTCGCCATGGTCCTTCGACATCACCGCCAGAGCAGGTCACTTTCCAGCCAGGAAATATCAGATTGGCAGCCGAGAAAATCCATTTGAATTGATAGGTATCAGGTAAGGACTTGAAAATTCTGCGCATCGGTGGCTTTCCACCTCAGGCATAAGTTTACCCTGTTGTGCCAATGAATTGGACGCATTGGCATCGTACGATGCAATTCCTCAGCTAAACCCATTAGACATACTACGATTTCTATAGCCCACTAAATTAGTGGTGTATAAATAAAACCATTAATAAAATTAAAATAAAACCCTTAGTAAATCTAATAATGTTCATAAGCGTAGCTTCGTGTTCTGCACTCGCTCACGTGACGCACTTTATTTTTTCCAACTACAAATTGACGCGTTTTGCCCAGCCAATTCAAAAGCACAATCTCCACCCTCACTCTCTTCTGCTGCCATCCCACGCTATGGACGGCTGGAGTGAAGTACGTGCCATCCGCTAAGATACCCCACTGCCGCTACTAACCCCTCCCCTCAGATAAACAGAGTAACCTCGGTGAAGGCCTCGTCGAACACGCCCAAAAATCCCAAGTCCCGCCTCAAAAAAAACCCTAGCACCTCGTGTGTGGTGTTTGACGATAGCCACGATGTCATTTGGACCGGTGACACCAATGGTCACGTACAGTCGTTTGCGTCGGTCACCATGACGCCGTACACCTCGTTCTACGCGTCCCAAACGGATCCGGTACTTCGGATCATGAACCATCAGAAGGGGATCCTCTCTCTCACCTCCAACTCGCTTAAATTCACCACCCGCCGCGGCATGCCCAAGTTCTGTGTCGAAGGCGGCCCGCTCCGAAAACTCACCGCAATGTCGTACTCGTCCGCAAACCAACACGAGGTCGTGCTTGGCTCGAACAACCCCAGCTCCGGCAAGAACCTCTGCACGTTCGACCTCATCAAAAACTGCGTCACCCGGACCGCAAGCTACACCGACCCGGTGCTCTGTATGGCGCTGAATGTGCGCCAGACCGTCATCGGGAAGCAGGACGGCGGCATCGACATCTTTGACTCGCGGTCGGACTCCGTCACAAAAACCTTTGTCGGCCACAGCGGAACCCTCGCCGACATCGACTGCAAGGACCATACGTTGGTCACGTGTGGCTTCTCCCACCGCCACAACGGCTACATGGTGGACCCCATTGTGAACGTGTACGACCTCCGCGTAATGCGGCCGTTGTCGCCGCTCCTGTTTGCCGCGGGAGCGTCGTTTGTGCGGCTCCACCCCAAGTTTCCCAACGTGGCCGTGGTGGCCTCCGCGCTGGGCCAGATCCAGTTTATCGACATGTACAACCATACGAACGTGCACTTGTACCAGGCGGATGTTGGCGGATACATGTCCAGCATGGAGATCTCCCCGTCTGGAGATTACATCGCCATGGCTGACGGCTTCCAGATGCAATTGTGGTCGCACGGCTTCAACGCCCAGGAGCAACCACCTAGCATGGCCGTTTATGCCAACGCGTTGGACTACGCCACCAACACCTTCCCCGAGGAGCCGTTCGGCGTGGACGACGATGTGCCGCTCAACACCATTGGCATGCCCTTCTACAAAGAAGTGTTGTTGAGTAACTGGTCCACCGAGATGCGCTTCCCCAAGTCTGGCTGCGTGCTCCCCAAGCACATCGACGAGGAGATGCTGAGGCGCGAACTGATCGCGCATTACGATCGAGACAAGTACGGCGCGCGGAACTCCGTCGCCAGGTTCGTTCCGCCCCACATGAAGAAACAGGGTAAGAGCCCCAAGTTCATCAGCGAGCGGCTCAACGAAGACTGTGCAGATGCGTGCGACGAGGATATCTTTAGCTACGTGTCGTCCGCGCCGAACGTGGTGCCGCCGTGCTACGGCAAGTTGGAGATCTTCTACTCGCGCTTTGGCGTCGACGACTACGACTTTGACTACTACAACAAGACTCAGTACTCTGGTTTGGAGACCCAGATCGAAAACTCCTACGTCAACGCCATTGTCCAGCTCTATCGCTTCGTCCCTGAGGTGTTCAACATTGCGCTCCAGAGCATCGCCTCCGTTACTGACCTCCAGAACCCGTCGCTCCTTGCCGAGCTTGGCTATCTCTTCGACATGCTCCACAAAGCTCGCGGAAAGAACGTGCGGCTGGCCAACTTCCAGAAAACCTTCACGGCCCTCCCCGAAACCCTGGCCATGAATCTTCTCGATGTCGACAACACCGCCAGGCGCGACAAAACCAGGCTCCGCAAGTTGGTTCTCGGCTTTAACCGCTTCCTCTCGGAACGGCTCGCCTTTGATGCCCGCAGCTTGCCCACGGGCGACGTTGCCGCGATGTTGGGGCAGTCCATGGGCACCGTCTGGGAGACGGAAATTGGGTCAAACTACTGTAGCAGCTGGCAGTCCACCGCGTCTACACTGTTCTCCATCGGAATGCCTGCACCGCCGAAGCTGGGCATCCGTAAGTTTAACCACAGCATTGTCACTTTTTTGGAGTACGCGCTCTCGCAGCAGCTTTCCACCACGCCGTTCTGTCCCAACTGCCGCAAGTACCACTTATTTGAGGTTACCAAGGTGGCCAAGAGCCTCCCTCCTGTGTTGTCGTTGAACTTGGAAATGAGCGAGGATGACTTCCGTGACCTCCGAGGCTATCGTAACTGGCTTCTTCCAGAGTTTTACGCGTCGATGAACAAGGGCAGGCCGGTGTTGAAGCCCGTCACCACCAGCACCAATACCAACGAGGTGCGGAAGTACGAGTTGTTTGGATACGTGGCGCAAATCACCAACGAAAAGAACGACTCGCACTTGGTTTCGTTTGTGAAGATTGACAACCAACACACCCGCAAAAGCGAGTGGTTTTTGTTTAATGACTTTATGGTGACGCCAATTCCCGAGTCCGAGGTGTTCAACATGACCTACTGGTGGAAGACTCCGTTGGTGATTGTGTACAAACACTGCGACACTCCGGCCCACTTTGACGTGCAGGCATTCAGAAAGCCCAGGTTGGACGATACGGTATTGTACAGAGATAATTTTGCCGCTGGATTGACAAAAACTGATCGAATCATCGAGTACGAGCTTCTCACACAGTCGGAGGCCCCGGAACCGGGCACGCTCATGGCGATCGATGCCGAGTTTGTGGAATTAGAGCCTGAGGCCATTGAGATAAGGTCGGATGGTACCCGATCGTTGATCCGCCCGAAGAGACAAGCGTTAGCGCGTGTGTCGGTCACCAGAGGCGACAACGGCCCGATGCAGGGTGTTCCATTGATCGACGATTACATCGTGACCGTGGACCATATTTCGGATTACCTCACCAGCTTCTCGGGGATCGAGCTTAACGACTTGAATCCCCAGGTGTCCAAGCACTCGTTGGTGACGTTACAGACAGCATACCGTCGTCTCTGGCTCTTGTTGAACTTGGGCTGTGTTTTCGTGGGGCATTCGGTGGGTAACGATTTCAGAACGATCAATATTCACGTGCCCCCATCGCAGGTCAGAGACACGGCCCAGTTCTTCTACTTGCCAGAGATGAAGAGGCGTCTTTCGCTCAAATTCTTGGCGTATATATTACTCAAGGAAAATGTGCAGCGTGGTAACCATGACTCTATCGAGGACGCGAACACCGCCTTGCGCTTGTACAAAAGGTACTTGGAGTTGAAGGCAACGGGCGAGCTTGAAAATACCTTGCATAAGGTATATCAGGAAGGGCAGTATATGAAGTTCAGGCCACCTGGAGACTTGCAGTGAATGTGTGTGGATGAGGTTAGATGTATAGACTTAGCTGGGACAATATACAAATATCAGGTAAAGCGGCATGGAAGCTGTACAATGTGGTGGTATGGAATACGTTTTATACTTAGGCCGAGGGATTGCAGCATCTTTGAGTATACAACGGCAAGTGTAATATCTTAATTCAAGCTCATAAATGGGATATTAATAGAGAATTACTCTAGACAGGGCTTTGGAGGGGGGATACCGAGTGAGCGGCTTCCCCAGAGAGCTTCTTGGGGAAGAATGCATAAAAAAAAAGCTCCGCGACGGGGAATTGAACCCCGGTCCCCCGCGCGACAAGCGGGGATTCTAGCCACTAAACTATCACGGATGGTGCTTGAAAACGAAGTATCTTTACACTTCCTGGTCATATTATAAAATGGTTCAAAAATTTTTAGGGAGCATTGAAAACGAGGTATATAGAGAAGGGTCATCCTTAAAGGAACCTATAGCACACAAAGATGGAAGAAAAAAATGTTCAAGGAACTGCCGGACGTAAACGCTGCAAGTTAAACGTGCACTCCAAGTGAAAACGGAGGGTCTCGATTATTTAAATCTATATAAATGGTGGAGATATCAAAAGTTCAGTACGATTTTATAATCCATGATATACCCTTGTATCAGGCATTAACAGGGCTTGTTGACGTATAAACTGGTTGGTAATTGGTTAACATTAACTATACAATATTTTAAACTATCAAAAGGAAAACCTTGGTACAATTAGAAAATTACCTTTTTCTGAAACAAACAAGAATTAAAAGTATCGGATACGGAGAGTGGTTCAATATCCACCATTGGTTGGCTTATAACAAGAATGCAACAAGGCCAGCAATGGCACCGGCAGTAACGCCTCCCAAACCGTTGGCCCCGCCGACCAATGAGACGGTTTGTGGCACGGTCAGTTGTGGTGGGGCCACTGGGAAAGTTGAAACCGGGACGACTGGAACGGTGTAGTTTCCAGCTGGGGAAGAATCTGAGAGGACCGGGATCAATGGAGCAGTGTGGATACTAGTTGGAGGAGGAGTTTGGGTATTGGTAGTGGTTTGAGTAATGAGAGTGGTACTCTCATTAGTACATGGCTTACTTTCAACCGGTGGAACTTCGGTAGTTTCATCCGTACATGGCTCGGTCTTGCCTGGGACGGAAGGTGGAACCTCAGTCGTTTCGTCAGTACATGGTTCGGTCTCGCTTGGGACGGAAGGTGGAACCTCGGTAGTCTCATCAGTACATGGCTCGGTCTTGCTTGGGACGGAAGGTGGAACTTCGGTAGTCTCATCAGTACATGGCTCGGTCTTGCTTGGGACGGAAGGTGGAACCTCGGTAGTTTCGTCAGTACATGGTTCGGTCTCGCTTGGGACTGAAGGTGGAACTTCGGTAGTCTCATCAGTACATGGCTCGGTCTTGCTTGGAACTATAGTTGAAAGAGAGGATGCTTCTTCCCAATGGGCAGAAACACCAGCGAAAACGTAAGTAATAGATAACAAAGTAGAGGCTTTCATTATGGAAGATTAATATTGTGGTACCGAGCCAAAACTTTCTGTTTCCTAGAAGGACCAGACGAGTTTAAGTAGTGAAAATCCAGAGTCTGCTCTAATTGACAACTAGGGGACCTTATTTTTTTCACGTCACATCCAGAACTACGTCATGATTTCTGTTGGACACCAACAAGGGAACCCTAGGAATAAAATAAAAAAATGGATATATATATTATTGAGAGGGATTTTGAGGCAATTTTTCATAGTAAACTGGAGTACTGCACCGTCTGGAGTCAAGGAAGGCGCAAGCTACACACGCACAGCATTGACATAAGAGGTAGCCCGGTTAAAGGTGCAATAGCATTTGTTTCTCATATGCCCCAATTTATTTGATAATCAGACAACCTCAGCTCATTTTTTTCAAGCGGAGGAGCGTGCATGAAGCCCAACATTGATCGTGGAAAGTGGAGGCGCATATGCATCAAGCACAAAGTGCATACTGCTGCGACAGGGTCCAACCCGTCCCCCGCATTCGGAAATACGCAGAGACAACGTTGGGGTTATTCAATAGAAGTGTTAATTCTGAAGATGTGAAGTGTGCGTACGGTAATAGATTCCAGGGTAATACTAAACTTCTAAAGACGGAAGCGCTGCTACACTATTTAGGAGATAGGCATGCACATCTACTTGAGCTCTTCCCATGGTTGCTGCTAGCCGGTCGTCGGTGGTACACATGATAGAACACGTTGAGATAACCGAAAGCATACCATTTCGATATTTTAAATACAAGGGCAAATGAAAAGTTCCGTCTGGCTTGAATCTAAGCACATCTATAGGTGGCACATCCACAAATCTCGGTCCTAATGGTAACCTTATATTTAGTACACAAGGCCAATGTCTTGATTGTCAATACCAAGTGTAACGTGCTGTCGATTAATCGGCATCTATTTTACTATCAAATACACTCCCAAGCCATGTTCCTCTAGACCTTATCTTTTAACGCAGGTAGTCACTCTTGCACCCTTCAACAGGTCCTCGTTATGTTTTGACGATATCCACTCGGATACGCTTCCACACATTCAGCACGTACAAACCCTCCTCTTGCCGGGTATCCTCGTTAATTTCCGTGCCAACCTTTTCGACCTCACCCTCCACTGGTGGGTTGATGCTGACCACGGCGTAGGAGCCAGCAGAGCTGGGACGCATGAAACAGCCGGGGTTGATAACCACGACACTTTTAATCACCTTGGCGAAAAAACGCAACTCCGATGGAATGATCAAAATGTCGGGGGTCACCTCGCCCATCTCGCTCAAGCCCATGTATGGCATGTCCAAGTCTGCCCCGGAAATGTGCTCCACGACGCCCTCCTCCACTCGGGTCTTTGTGCCCCCGGGAAACACTGGGTAGTAACGACGTTGCTCGATGACCTGGGTAGCGACCCTTTCAAACCGGTTCTGGGAGACAAACTTCCCGTGCACGACGTCTTTTAAGTCGCGGAATACATCGTTGTTGGACACCCCCACGTGGATCTCGTTCATGGTGAAATGCGCCGGGTTCGGGTAGCACTTGATGTTCTTCTGCGCAAGCTGCAACAGCTTCTTGTCGAGAGAGTCCTGGGGATACGCGCTGTGCTTGCTGGCTGCATCTCGAGTCGACGGTATCACGATCGCCTGGATCTTGGGATGAAGGCTGCGGAGTATCGGCGATACCACGAGCCGGAACACGTCGTCAAGGGTACTGGGGGCTAGCTTTGCATCTGCAACCTCAATAGACCCGTCGGCGATTTTCGGATGGGTTATGTCGATAAACGGTCCGAGGAAAATGACCGTGTGAGGGCGGATCTCGTTGTTGAGCTTCTCCACCAACGCGCGCAAGTACACGAAATCAAAGTCTTTTGTCGTTGTGTACGGCCCGGCGCACACCACCACCTTGAGTGCTTTGTCGTTTAACGCGAGCGATTCCGCAAAGTCCTGCGCACGGCATGCCGGCGCCCCGAGGTACGGCAACTCCAACACCGATGCCACCACAAACGCCTCGCCCGTGGGGTTTTTTCCGCGGAACGCAACGATCTGGCCCGGAAAAAACGTATAGTCTGGAACCTGAGTGAGGTCAAGCGCCACGCGCTGGCCAATCCCCGATAATCTAGATGTTTCAAGGAAGAACGACGAACTGTTGAGCTGGACCGCGTCAGTAAGTGGCAGGTCCGGCACCATCCGGCCGACGCACACAATATCGAACTGCGACGCAACGCACGGGCTGTGGAACTCGTCGGTGGAAATCGCATGCGCCTCTTGGACAATCTGCGCAAACGTGTCGATCTGGTCGTCGAGCACGTCCGCAGCTTCAAGCAACTTCTGCCTCATCGTACGGAAACGGTACTTTTCCGCGTCAAACTGCGGCGCAAGCTTCACCTGGACCGTTTCAAGGCTCGCCCCCTCGGCCACGGGGATTTCTGGGTTCAATGTCTCGATGGTTTTTCCTGAGTCGCTGTGGGGGGTTGGCGTTGTTGGCTCCATTTTTGTCGGCGACGAGTTCAAGTTCAGGCCCTGGGGCGTCTTTAACGGCGTGTTTGGCGCCTCTTTCTTGAGCGGCGACTCGAGTCTGCGCTTCTTTACCGAAGTAGGCGTCGCCGGGAAGTCAAACAACTGGCTCGGGCTAGACGCGGGACGCATCATCATCTTTGGTTTGGACGCTGAATGGAGCGTTTTTTCCAACCCTTGTTGGATGTAGCTCTGGAGGAGATCCAAGTTGGCAGCGCTAAGCTCGGTTTCATCGTCCACAGACGAGTTGTTCACACAGTACGACTCCCACTTCACAAAGAGGTCGTCCGCGGAAAGCGTGTAGATTTTCATCAAGTTTTCGCATTTGGCAAGGATTTCCGCATCGTTGGCCTTGGGGCCGAACGCCGCCACTAAATCAGTAACAGACATGGATACGGTGTAGAGAAAGGTATGATACAAAGGGCTTGTCGCGTAGATTTTTAAAACGCGTCGCAGCGCGAAACAGACCGCGTCACGGGCTCGTGTGCGAGAGACATCTGAGTCGTGGTGGGCACGACTATACACTGATTCAATGCGGATTGAGGTCACCAGAGTAATTGAGGATAAAACCAATTGCCATTTGTAAGTAGATAAAGCATGTTTGTGTTAAAGTCGAGTGAAGTGGTATTCCACATTGCAAAGATGGCAGACTATGTAGCCATATAAAATAGGGATCAACTCCAAACACCTCTCCGTGCGTTATCTGGACCGATAGTCCGGTTACATGCCCGATTCCAATTGATGCAATTTTTTTTACTAAACCTAAACAATGGTTAATAGTTTTAATCGGGATTCCGGGTTATTGTATTATATTTATGGGAATCGTGAATTATCCAACAGCTTTATAAACTAAAAATCTCCATGTAACGTGATGTGGCGCCAAGGTATAAGCAAATTATCGTAGCAAAGGTAGGCAAAATTCATCACGTGCAATCGCTTTAGTGTGTCGCACCTCGACTCGCTCTACAAGACATAAATAACAGTAATGCGATCCTAAACCGTCAAGTTTCGCTCTCGGTCACCAAATGACCAATTATGTCATTCTTAATCAACTTTTATGAGAAAATTCCTTGAAAAAAATACTCTTCGGGTGAAACCTCTTCCCGGCTTCCTTTATTTGCAGCCGTATACGGCGATCTGGGTCTGCAGATAAGACACAGGATTTTCCACTTTATCATCGACCACAATAGACCTTCTTCTTCACTATTCACACTTGCTATGAAGAGTACCCTGTCAAAAAGCTTTGTGAAAGGTTCGAAGTCAGCTGTCGCTGATGCCTCCCCGGCTGTTGTTGATGCTACTGCCGCTTCAGACTTGACGACTTTTTTTGAAAGCTCCGAGCCCAACTTCGCCACGGAGTTCATCGCCACGCTCAAGGTCTTTCTCGAAACCACCTTTACCTACGACCGTTTTATGCAGCTCCTTATACTCTACTTTGTCTGCCACACGTACTACCTCAAGTACGAGACAACCCGCTTCCCATACACCCTTATTACCACGCTCGACGCTTCCAACGTGCTCTTTGTCATTGTGGTCAACTACATTGGAATCCTTTTGAGCATCGCCGCGACCGTGCGCAAATTTGGCACTGATGGATTCCCCTCCTTCAACGCGATGGTATACGGCATGTTTGTGCCTAACTTGGTTGCCTTGATGTTCTTGTACCTGCCAGAATCTCCTTACTTGTTTTTCAGCACCTTGTCCCTCAACTACCTTGCGCTTGACGACCGTCTCGCTATACAATCCTCGTTCATGATCAAAATCGGCTCAGCCGTCTTGTTCATCCAACAGATTGTCGGCTTGCAGGTCATTCCAGTCTATTTAATGGTGGTTGCCAAGTACCTCACCTTGAAGTATTTCTTGGACTACCTTTCCACCGAAATCGTTGTCGACAGCGAAAAGAAGGAGGTGTCATCCGGCAGAACCTCGCTCACCCAGACTGAAAAGCACGTGTTGGTGCAGCTCTTGGTGTTGGTGCTCGAACGGAGCTCGACCAGTTTGGAATTCTTTGTCCTCCAGGCGTGTGTGTTTAGCCTTTTGTTTTCACTCACGGCTGTCCAGCCGTTCTACCAGTTCTTATATAAGCCATCTCTCAATTCCGCCAAGTCTTTCTATGCCCTTCTTATCGCTGCCGTCTTCCCCGTTGCTTTCTACATCGCGGTGGAGACACAGACGGCTCCGCTTATTGGCAAACCAGGTGTCTGGCTCTACCACTACGTCACCGAGTCTCCGTTTAACCTCCAATGCTGTACCCTCTGGGCCGTCATGCTCGCCACGACGGCGCTCGCAAATTTCTCGCTCAGTGCGCTGTTGAACACCAAGCGCAAGGTCTGGCACTTTGTCTTGCTCTCCATCGTACTCCTTCCCGATGCGCTCCTCTTTTTGCAGAACGCCGCGCTTGACGAGACAGCTGTGGCAGCCAAGAACCAGTTTGTAAAGATTGCGTTATCGCTTGTGGCTGTGGGTCTTATTTTGGCTGAAACCTTGCGGGTAACCCAGTTTTCCCCCCTTGGAAAGCTCTTGTTTGCCCAGTTCAAGCCATTCCAGGATGACAGGGACAACGCCGGGCCCTTGGTTATCTCTTACTTGTTTCTCATTTTTGGCGCCACCTTGCCTTTCTACATCCACGACTCCCGGTACGGGGCCACCCAGAACCCGTTGCTCGCATACGCGGGCATTGTTTCCGTCGGTCTTGGTGATGCCATGGCTTCCTGCTGCGGCAAGGTGTTAGGGGGCATGCAATGGGCCGGCCCACACAACAAAAAGACGTTGAGCGGTTCTGTGGTTGGCTTCATGGCCTCTACCATCGTCTGTTTCCTCGCGTTGAAGTACATCAAGACCCACAACTGGGAACAGCTTGTGGATGCGCTTGCGCAGGGTGTAGACGGTCACCAGCTCTGGGCCTCTGTGGCTGACGAGCAGATCCTCTGGGCTTGTGTGTTGACTGGGGTTATGGAGGGTATCTCGGATGTGAATGATAACTTGTTTATTCCGTTGGTCATGGTTGCCGTGTTTGAGGCGGTGTAGATCCGGCCTGTAAGGCGGGTGTTGACTGTGCTTAACATCGCCTTGGAATGAGAATATTACTTGTATTCATATATATGCACGAAGAAATGGCAGAGATGCAATATATCTTCTAGATTTGGTGTACTGTAGACCTGGGCTTAAAGCTGATCGCAGGAGAGAAACGAAGTTTAGCTATAGCAAAATATCTACCTTCGATGAATTTAATGACTACTGGGAAGCTATATCAGGCAAGAGTGCAGGGTCTATTGTGATTAAGTAGGAAGATGCATCAACGATGGTCTCAACAAGGTTAATTAGACAGAAACATACAGACAAGTGTTGTCTGCGTGAAGTGTGAATAATCGTCCGATAAGATAGGAGCTATTACAGGTGAGTCCTGGCAGCGTCTTGTAACACCCTTTAACAACCATTTGATATCCGTGCTATCCCTGTATAATGTTTCATCACGTGACAATGCACGTACCGTAATCTTGTTTATCCTGCACTTTTGCTTACCCGGCCCAATTAATCTGTGCAGGTGGGAGCAAAAACCATAAGGCAACCCCGCCGGCTCTTCACATCACAACCCAACCAAGACTTGAACATCCACAGCTAGCCCCTCTATAGGCATTTAATCCATATCCAACCCCCCTATACACATTTAATCCGCATCCAACCCCTCTATATACGTTTAAATGTCCTCCCGCCGCTCTGCCAGATCACGATCCAACTACAGCGAAGACTTCGAGGCTCCCGACACACACGAGGTGCCTGACGACGACGAAGCGGGCTACGACGAAGACTCAGAGGTCACGCGGTGCGTGTGTGGCCATGACGAGCTCCAGCCTCCACACCAGCGGGAAGATCCGTCCTTTAACGACGAAATGTCCGGCTTGTTCATCCAGTGCGAGCTGTGCTCTGTGTGGCAACACGGCTACTGCGTGGGCCTTAAGAGTGAGGCGGCAGTTCCGGAAAAGTACTGGTGTGAAACATGTCGCCCAGATATGCACACATTGGTGTTCCGAGGCGATAGAAATTCGTCGCTTTACGACGCGACGCGCGAGCGCAGAGACAAGCGCAAGCCGAAACGCAGAGAGGAGGAAAAGGAGGCCCACCAGAAGCAAAAGGATTTGAAGCGTGCCGAGCGCACTAGAGCCATGGACAAAGAGTATGAGCAAGACTTGAAGAAAGCGCTTGAAGAAAGCGCTAGGTTAGCTGCGCCCAAGAGACCTGTGGAAGACGAAAAGCCGGTCCCCACGGCCAAACTTTTGTCGTCTCACAAAAGACCACGCAGAAGCCCGGACGAGGTGAAGGACGAGGTGAAGGAAGAGGTGAAGGAAGAGGTGAAGGCGGAAATGCAGCCTCCTCTGGCGCCGTCGTCCGCTGCCAGCAACGTCGCCGCTCCTGTTGAGACTACCCATACAAACGACACCAGCCTCACAACCCCGGATGACACGGCCAACTCGGACGAGTCAGCAAAGGCGCGCAAGCGGTCGCGGGCAAAGTCGGTGCCGAAGGTCGCGCCCAAGGCCGCACCCCTCGGTGACGCAGATAAACCGTCTAAGCCGCGCTTGCCGCCGCCGAAGACAAGCCTCACCGAGATGCGCAAGCGTGTTTCGGCAATTCTTGAATTTATCGGGCGCACACAGGTGGAGTTGGCGAGTGAAACAAACGACAAGGCGTCGCTTGCTAAGCTTGTAGAGGAGTCCGAAGCCGATGGCGACCAGGGAAAGGAGGAGGTCAGGCGCACAGTGGAGAAGTTTGAGGATAATTACCGAGAGACGTTTGGTGTTATGGATAGGTTGACTCGCAAGTTGTTATTGTGGGAGCAGCAGTTTGGGAAGTATAGCGATAAAGTGTACTAGACCGAAAGTCAATGTCTAAGATGCTCCAATGACAAGAATATAAGAGAGAATCGTTGCTACACTCTCTATTTCCTTGTTGTATTGGGATGACTGTCTCCCTGTGCCAAGACTATCAGTGTGATTTTACTATCTTCATGTTTTGTATTTATGTTAAACGTTTGCTTATGGTAGGGTTGAGGATGTATCACTAGGGACGTCAGGCTCTGCAGGTTGAAAGATGAGATAAGTTTAACCTGTTTCTAACTTGGTTGTGTATTAGAGCACTCGGAAGCCTCCCAATATAAATTATCCAAGTGATGGAATGCAGTCTATCAAAATGATAGATGTGTCATCCTTACGGCTCTGAAAAATATTTTAACGATAGGATTAGATCCAAATCTGTCCAAAGCCAAATTTTTAATCTCATAATATTGCCTACCCGGTGCATTGGATGATATCAGAACTTGTACGGTTTCAAGTTTATGATCCTTAAAAGTTAGCCAACGGTTTACTTACTTTTACACATCGCTGCTCATGCACCAACCTAGCCCAGCAGAGCTCTACATTGCTTTCGTTATAGAATATCGTGTTGGTATATACAGGGATGTGCGGGATAGTATACAAAGGTCAAGAGAACCCCCACGAATACGAGCATACTTCAAGAAATGGCACCAGAAGCTGAAATTCTTGGTTCTTTGGGTTGTTTCCGATATACCCCTTCCGGGAGTACAGAGATGGCGCGCTCAGATCTGGAATTAACCTTGTCTTTGCTTGTGCTTCTTGTTGGTCTTGCAGTAGACAAAGACTCTACCCTTTCTTCTGACCATATAGCAGTCCTGGCAGAACTTTTTGACGGAAGTCTTGGTCTTCATGGCCCTGACCCAGTTCAAGCCCATAAACCCGACAAGCCCGGTTTGGGCAACGGAGGTACCAAACAACTGGGTAGTTTGCTTCACAGCAGGAGATCTGAATAAGGTGCCGAACATTGCGTAGAGAGGGGATAGGTTATTTGGGCACTATCTAAACAACGTCAAGTTATATACCTGAAAAACTCTGGATGAAAAATTCAAAGTTGACAAGCTGATTAGGTAATCGCGAGAATATATGCAGGATGTTATTAGGGTAAGAGCTCCGTAGCTCTTGAGGCGAAGAACGAAGTACGCCAGTAGAATATAATGGGAATTAATACGGCGATACCTTGGATGAGTTTTATGGGGGGTTGAGTTATTAGAAATTAGGAGAAGGGTTTACTAACTCCTGTAGAGGTTTGGTTATGAGCCATAACCACGGTCTGAGTTTTCAGGAGTGATAATACTCCCGTACAGAGGGCCAGGCGTCATACGTTGGAAAGGAAGTAAAATAAAGGATGGGAGTGGATATCAGGTCAGTCTGCCATTTTTGTGGTTTTTTGCTGTGTTTTCTCAGAATCTTCGTAGCTGAACCACTTGGACGGGCCAACCACCAACTCGAGCTGCATGCATAACAATAAAGGTGCGTCTGTAGATGTGCGCTTTGTCTGCACTGTACTCACCGTTCTTGAAAGAAAACAAGTAGTGCGATGGTTACGTCTCTAGTGGCGATTTATAAGAAATACCTGTATCGAAACTCTGTTGAAGACCAGTTGAGGTCAACAAGTAGCAAAGCCTTCGTGGATCGGATTCCAAGCTGTAATCTATGTAAATGCGAAAGAACAAGCAAATTAATTGGCGTTCTATACAATGACCGGCTATGGCGGTTACAGCCTCTGTAGGTGAATGGGAGGTGTAGGAATGGAAAAAAGAGCGAAGAAGGCTACTCAAGAGAAGGTATATAGGTGATTGCAATGTTTATGGCAACAAACAAGCTAATTAAAATCAGCCTTTGCTACGCAGAGACGAACAGGGAATAAGGGGGGCTTTTAATTACAAGAACAAGAGAACAGCACCAAAAATACATGCAAACTTGCCTGGTCCAATGATAGCCTGATATTGGGCATCGCCTTCGTAGGTGGTGACAGAAGCCGTAGCAGAAGCACCGTAAGTAACTCCACCAGTGGAAATAAAGGGAACTGAAGATGGAGAGACTAGAGAAACTGGTTTGGTAACTGCCGAAGTGGAAGTAGTGGAAATGGCGGTAGCAATGTGACTAGAAGTTGTAACCTCACCAGAAGTCAATGGTTGGTAGGTGGTGTACGAAACAGCTTTACCGTAAGCGGTAGTTGTTAAAACAGTCACACCGGTAATGGCAGCAATCGTAATACAGACATCTTCCGAGCAAGTGGTGGTGGTGACCAAAGTGGTAGATTGCGCGGAGACCGGGATATTGGTCGCCTCCGAGATCAAAGGACAGTGTGTAGTGTAGGTAGTTTTGATGTTATCAATAGTGGTGGTGATGATAGAAGTAACACACTCACTGGCAGAACAAGAAGTGACAGTAACCACAGCGATAAACTGTTGGGTACCGGTAGGAGTAGTGCCCACTACTGACGACTGAGAGATAGAGGTAGCGTCAGTGGTAAAAGAACAGTAAGTGATGTGCCCAGTTTCAACATCGTCGATAGTGGTTGTAATAGCAGTGACTCCAGTAGTGATGGCAGTAGTGGCACAGATATTATCAGAGCAAGGTATGACAGTAATCACTGTGGTGGAGAGAACACTCTCACTAGTCAATGGACAGTAAGTTGTGAGCTTGGAAGCAATGTTATCCACGGTGGTGGTAATAACAGTGACACCGGTAGTAACGAAAGTGGATGCACATGCATTTCTGGTGCAAGAGGTGACAGTAATGACGGTAGTAGACTGTCCTATAGCAGCTGAAGCTACACCAGACTCCGTGCCAGAGGCATTACCAGTGGTTAAGGCAAAAGTGTCAGTAGCAGCCGAGTCGGCAGAAATGGAACTGGTAGCAGCGTTATGAGTGGTGGTGATGTAGACCGTAGAGATCTGGGTCAAGACACCACCCGTGATAACTTTTACGGCTGTTGTTGGAACAACGGTCTCGATAGCTCTCTTCTCATGGTTATCGGTGTAGACGTACACTGTGGTGTACGAAACGTAAGTGGATGAGTAAGAGGTGAAGGTGGAAGTAGCAACAGTAGTGAAGCTGGTGTAAGTGGCGTCGGTCGGACTATTTTTCAAGGTGAAGGTTTTTGTTAATTCAGGTTGAGTTGGGGATGGAGTAGAAATCTGAAACTCCGTATCAGAAGATTTGATTACAGAAGCTGTAGCAGAGGGAGCAGAAGAACCCCTAGAAGGCCTAGCATCAGAAACAGAAGCAGATGGAGTGGAGGTAGAGATTTGAGAAGCGGGTAAAACAGGAGAATACGATTCAGCGGAAGAACCCTTAGAAGACCTAGTAATAGAAGCGGAAGAGGCTGGAGTGGAGATGGCAGAGATTTTTGCGGAAGGAGCAGGCATAACTGGAGCAGACGAAGCTTTAGAAAAGACAGTAGATGATACTCGAGCAGAAGCAGAAGGGGATGTAGAGGAAACAGCAGAAGAACCAAGAACAGACGAAACTGGATCAAACGACTCGGCAGATGATTCAAAAGAAAAAGATATTGGAACAAAGGATCCAATGGTGGTAGAAGAGATGGGAGCAGACAAAACTGGAGTGAAAGAAGATGGAATAGAAGCGGCAGAGGAAACATCAACGACACTGGATCTGGTAATAAAACTAAAACCGCTAGAGATAGATGAACCTTCAGTAAACAGCAGAGCATACCCGCAGACACTGTCACAAGAGAATGAGGTAGATTTTGAAGCAAAAGAACTAGAGCTCGAAAAGCTGGAAGTAGAAGTGACGCTAGTGGACAAGCTTGAGGTCAGGACACTAAGTAGCGGTAAGACTTCCTGGCTGAAGTAACCGATCACGTTACCGTGAGGGTTGTATTCACAGATAATGTATCTACCCCAGGCACCACCACAATCGATATACGCGCACCCCATAGAATCTGTCGATTTCCATACCAAATTGGTGAAATGACTCGAGTCATGACTATATCCCGGATCGGAGTAGTTGTAGTTTTTGATCTCGGCATACCAGGCATCGACAGCACCGACAGTGGTGTAACCCGCAGCAAGATTCTCGCCATACGGCCCCCCGCTATGCTTCAAGATTCCGTCACATTTGTAGGCTGAAACAGCGTAGGTTTCGGCATAGGCAGCCAAGGTACTATTCCAAGTAAGAGACTGGACGCCGTGTAACGCTCTCTTTGCGTTAGTTTCATCCAAGATTGTTTTGATGAATTCAGGATCCGTCGTGGCCATAACCGTCTGGGCCGCAACAGCGACTACAGAAAGGAATAATAGCTTCATGGTTGATCTTTTAAGGCAGCAAGCGAGTGAATACGAGGATATAAAAAAAGTTTCGATCCGGTGGGGGTAAATGAGTGTGTAGTAGTTGGACGGTGAGGAAGGAAACTATCTGTTATGTCTTGGAAGGCTGCCTTACGTGAATGAGACAAGGTGATCTAAAACATAAGAGAATCCAGCGATATATAAAGGGCAGGTCAGGAGACCCTTCATACCTTTTCAACTCTATGCGCGAGATCTACCTGCCTTGGAGTGTGTATACATCTAGATGCAGTGTACACCATGCTACATTATTCTATTGCATTCGGGTGCCACTGCATCTGTATTGTTCATCGAGTACTGGCATCCGTTTGAGTATACTAGCGAAATCCCCCTGCGAGCAAGGGCTCCGTAGAAGGCATGGATGTCTTGGTGTACCCTTGTCAAAATGCACTGCACCGGTTCCATAACAGCAGGTTCTTACAAAGTACCAGTATTGGTCGCGATCAACAATGTAAAACTTAAGCACTGTGTCTATTCCGGGATTCTATTGTATATCTTGCATCGTCTGGTCTGTCTATCCTCGGCCTCTGGCCGATGATATGTTTTTTCATGTCGCCAAGTCCGTCATGTCTTAAGGCGGGCTAAGCAACGCTTCCGTGGGCTCTGCCTGTAACTTTGGGGTGTGTCGTCTCTGCATGGAACTCCTGTTGAGCTCTTAGGACAAAGATTAGTGATTCTATATATCTATATCTTCTTGGCATTTTCTTTTACTAACCGTCTATCCATAACGGGTAACCCCTAGAAGTTCAGACGTTTTCGTTGCCTTGACGATGCAGACATACCAAAATAGAAACAACAGTTCCCGTATTGGCAAAGACGCGTGAACAATATGGTGGGAATTTCTGCACGTTTGACTGTCAGATTGGAAGTGATTCAAAAATGGAGTGGTAGTTACCATAAAAAGAGTAGGCTTAGTAGACACGGATACGTGGGTTTCATACTGTTTACAATCGTGCGTCCCCGCATTACGTAGAATGGTGGAGGAGGCAGTTTTAGGGATGAGCTTCCGTAGCCACAATTTTATCTGAATAATGGATGAGTGAGGTACGTAGAGTAACGTTGGTTGTTTATTGGGTAGAAGTCCACCTGGTTTAGTTATAACATACCTTACAGACGAACGATACATTTCTTACTGATTCCACTCAAATTGATTCTTTTTCTTTTTCTTTTCATTTGTCGAAACATATTCATCCTGCCGGTGTATTGGACTGTGTTTCGTGAAAAACCAGACCCATAGACTCTGGATCTATTATAAAAGCACTAACCTAAAATAGCAGATAAGCATTTCATCCGAAATCCCTGAGAACAATTGCACGTATATTCCTTTGAATTTTTAGTTATGGACGCGATTGAGTCTGTTCCACCCCGACACCTCCCTCCTGCATTTCGATGGCCCACCTGCACGTTTCCCACTTGACTAACAGAAATTTTTCTCAGCTCTTCTCTGTGGTACTCGGAGAGCTTGTACCCGGAGCTGGCACCCACGCAGGCTCACAGGTTTAGCGCCCATCTGCATGCATCACTACCCCTTCAGCTGTACCATTCTGCCTAAACGCGTACACATCCATCGAGAATAAAGTGGCTCGCATAGCTCGTATAAGGACTTCGATCGTCCAATTTGCCTAAACACATAATCATATATCGACGGAAGTAAACGGATCGCATCGTCGCACCTACCGATCAGTGCTCTAAACTAAAGATTCAGGGCCACTTTGCATACTTTTCCGCGATGAAAAATATAGTGTAGCCCGTTCGTCCAGTTACCACATCTTGGTAGACGCGCATTGTTGTTATCCCTTATATACGGGACGATATGCTCAAGGGAAGTCTTAGATAGCCTCAAAGACACCTAGATGACCTGATGAATATTGCCGTGGTTATTGTGACGCCAACTGGCTAGTGTAGCAGATCTATTTCACATGGATCGGAAAATCATTGGGTGAGGGTTAAAACCTGCACACATTCCATAAAAGGGTCATATCCGTCCTAATCGGGACCCGTGTTGCCGGTAAGCAGGATTGTTTGTACGCGTGCGTATCTGCCAAGCCATACTGAAGTCGACAATTTACAACACAGGCCCGCGGGATTGTAAATAATACTAGACTAAGCTGATACGATCCACTCAAAATCGAGTTGTATTTGAATTTGCGAGTAAAAAACAGGTGCTCGACCAGACGCGTCGTTTAAATCACATTCCCCAAAATAGTTGATTGAAGTACTAGTTTAGCAATTCATGGAGTCAGTGACTAGGTATGTCTATAGTGATTAGCTTAGCCAGCTGATTCTTGCAAGCTAGCAATTTTTTCTCGACCTTCTCGATTTGTACATCAAATTTGGGCCTGGGTTTGGTGGACCCTTGGTGCTTATTTCTTTATACGATATACTTAATCCTAGCAAATGGGAATGTAAATACGCATACATTTTAATATATATTAATTTATTTTCAGTGCTAGCTTAAGGATTACAGTTCTATATAAAGATAATTCAGTAATAAGCAGGATTACTATTATATTTCTGTTTCACTTAAAATAAATACACCTATATTAATAGTACCCTTCATTAGTTATTCATTTTGGTTTGAATGTTTGTTTAATGTTACTTTCAAACCAAAATAAATATTTAATATCGATACACATCCATACTATCAATATTTATACCCACAGAATGTATATGTATATTTATATATTAATCATGTGGTATGTAAAGCATGGATATCGTATGTCTTTACTGCACTTATACGACAGACAAAAGGACTGCTTTGCCGAAATCCGGATCCGAAATCGAAACAATAGAACGTGACTGGCTGTGGCTAGGAATCAGGATACCTGATTGAGATTTGCGGACATCGAAATAAGGCAGCTACGCAGGATTTCTGCAGGGTAGGGTCTAGGCTTACACGAAGTTTTTCAGCCTGCGCCAGTTGTTTACATGCTTAGTGTATACGACAGCTCCACCCAGCAGCTTGTATATATGTCTAATCCAATCAAGCACGCTTTGGCCAGCTCCAGAACAAATGATGTAGTCGATCGAATTGCCGTTTCGTAAGGGGCCAGCATACATGCATAAAAGGGATGCTCATCACAGTCCACCGAGCACGTACGGCATTGGGCTCAGTCTTGTCCCTACCTGCAGCGGGGTTCACATGGTGTGTCGATCCCGCCTTGCAGCTGTGCTTTCTTGGCGCACACGTGTTTTCGGAAGGCAGGCGCGAAAATTGTGACCTATACGACTGGCCGGGGCATGCATTGGCGCCACTAGGCGTGACTAAGCAGACTAATAACCCAGGCAACAGTCTATATTAGGACATTTGCAACCAAATTTACTCATCCATACCGGAGATGGATCCGAATGCGGTGCGAGGTGCGTGTATTGCCGATCTGTTTATTCTTACAGCACCGCTTGTCGCGCACAGAGGGCCCTCAACGCTGGGAAAAAAATTTCCAATCGTAGGTCGGGGGGTTCTGAAACTGCTCAACCTATACTCCGTACTCTACTCTTTCTTCTTTTATAACTAGAAACTTTCACATCAAAAAGATATTCTTCGTAACTTAATCTAATAGGTCTCCCAACGATATATACAAGTGAATATTCTCTACTCGATCAACTTTGTATCAGTATAGCACGCTCTTTTCACATTCATTTGTCAAGTATATCCTCACACTCTTTTAACAACCTACCAAGTTCTCCTTCACAGTCTCTAAACTAAACTATCTCCAATCCAATGAAGTTTTCTATTTTACCTCTCGTCGTGGCGTTAGCATCCTCGGCTGTCACTACTGCCGCCGCTATTTCGTCGTACTCTACCGAAACCATCCAGCTTTACGTCACCTCTGTCGTCACATCTACCACGACCATCACCGTGCATACTGCTGGTTTCCCACAGACCTTCTCGTTCGGCAACAGCTCTGTTAACGCCATCTACACTACCGTCACTGACCAGTCCACCACCGTCGTCACCATTACCTCCTGTTCTGACAACGCCTGTGCGACTACCGCTGTCACCACTGGTGTCACTGTTGTCACCGCCACCGTTGAAGGTGTTGTCACCGAATACACCACCTACTGCCCATTGACCGGAGAATCTACTTCCCCTGTCGCCCAGCAATCTACTTCTCCTGTCGCCCAGCAATCTGCTCCTCCTATCATCCAGCAATCTGCTCCTCCTATCATCCAGCAATCTGCTTCTCCTGTCGCCCAGCAATCCACCGTGGTGGCTACCATTACTTCCTGTTCTGACAATGTCTGTTCTACCACCGCTGTTACTACTGGTGCTACGGTTGTTACCACTACTGTCAACAATGTCGAAACCATCTACACCACCTACTGTCCATTGACGGCCGAATCTACCGCCCCAGCCTCTGGTGACGTTACTCTCACTCACGTTATCCAGTCTACCGTGGTTGTTACTTTGCCTCATACCCCTGCTGCTACCACCGGTGTCACTGTGTTGACTACTAGCGTGAACAACCAGGGTACTACTAACACCACTGTCCACCCGTTGACTCCTGCCGTTGTGACCCCAGTTGTCCCGGCCAACAACTTCACCCTGATCCCACCTGTCTCTACCTTCGAAGGTGCCGCTAACGCTCTTACCGCTGCCGGTTTGACCAAGATTGTCGGTTTCGTTGGTATGGCCTTGATGCTCTTGTAAAAGGATAACATCCTTGCTCTTTTGGCTAATGCTTTTTGTTCCGCATCGCTGAAGTAAAACTCGTGCTTCTGAGATTATTTAATCTCTAGCATTTTTATATCCTTATTTTTATACCCTTATTATTTTTATCCCTTGTTTTTTTCGATTTTCTCTTAGATTGATATCAGTTCTTAAATCTAAGAATGGAATTTGTAGTATGTCCGCGAAAGGAAACATTGTTCTACCTGATAAATGTGTTTGAATTTTACTGCTCGGGAGTAATATTTAGGGTTTATCTAGCGGCGAAGGCAGAAGTGGAGAAGGTTTACTTGTACGGTTAGCGGAATTGTGCTGATTTATCCTTGCTTCTCACAAAACTGTCAGTTCCTATACCTATCACCACTGTGGTATATTCCCACCTCGAGGGTAGAATATCTACTTATAGGAGTATACTGGTTAGCTATATAACTTATATAGGATAAAGGAAGGAGGGATCGACCTCATTATATAAGGTATCGATCGCTACTACGTGACCATTACACACTTACTACAGACGCCTTCAGAACGCCTTAATCCTCATTTGCCATGTTGACGGCAGCAAACGCAAAGAGAGCTCCGCATGACCCTCTTGCCTTTGTTTCGAATGACAACCCAGCTCAGATTACTGATAACTGGGACTTAACCAAATGATTTCTATAAGCGTGACTTGGTATATAAGAGCAAGACATACGGCAAGCCAGGCTATCTGACATTGGTGGTTTTGCCGCATTAGTTTGGAAAATAGTAGCTTAACGGTGAGAGCTTACCCCCATTACTCTTTGCTAGCTCATCTGCGACTATCGTGATCTTTTTCTGACCAGCCAGTGGTGCCTCCTGGCAGTGGTATTTCTGTATACGCCACGGCGCGGCTTGTAAAGAGAAAACGCGTCTCAAAACAAACAGTGGGGACACTCGCGATTCAGGAAGGGTTTTTTGCAAATTAGACAATTGAAGCAGGGGCGTGGGGAAAGGGCTTGGTTTACGCGACCTATGCCCACATACATATTCACTTACAGGGGTAAGTTATTCTACATTCACCTAAATATGGCACTAGTTACTGCTCGAGATGTTACCGGTCCACTAGACCATTCCCCGGGCACTTTGATGTTTCAAGCTTCCAATTCTTTGCACTTATTTAACGTTGAAGCCATTAGCTATAAACTTTGCTTTATAAATAGTAACTGCATCCGGTACGTGAACAATTGCAACACCGAAAGATAGGATTACAAAGTAAACGTCCGCTTATAAATACAGATCAGCGGCGTAATGGATATTATTGAATGGACAATACCTGTTAAATACGTGCGACCAGACTAGTCATAACCAGGCCATACATATTTGACGAGTATTATATAGGTCTGGTTCCAACAATGGCACGCCCACGGGGTACGCGGTAGGGATCACGAAAAGCTTGTGTGGAGAATATGCACCTCACGCGTCTACGGGACGCCTGAATGCCAAATTGAGTGAACAGCCACAGACGCCTTCCCAAACAGGGGACGTGTGTACCTAAGTCGTACACGAAACGCCTTCACAGACAGACAGGGGATATGGCTATTGTTGTTTCAGGTTTTATAATAAAATGTACCCCTTCGCCAATCTCTTGGTGTCCAGCGACAGGGAAATACTGGTACATGAATTTGGTATATATAAGATCTGCTCCCTTACCTCTATTATACTACTTTTCCACATCACATTCCTTTAAACGTTAGGGGCAATAGCTTTTACACTCATTTATCCCAACGCCTACGCTCCTTACCAAATCTAATTGCGCTATGAGAGCTTCAATCCTTGCGACTCTCGCATTGGCTGTTACCCCTGTTGTCAGTGCTCCCGCGACGTCGTCTGACCCAGATGCCAACCCATGCTAC